TCACTATGTATTACTTTAATAACATTATTTATTTATTTATTTATTGTAGGTTGTGCAGCTTGAACTCTGGGCCTGGGCGCTGTCCCTCAACTCTTCAGCTCAAGGCGAGAGCTTTACCGCTTGAGCCACAGCACCACTTCCAGTTTTCTAGTGGTTTATTGGAGATCAGAGTCTCTCCGACTTTCCTGCCTGGGCTCGCTTTGAACCATAATCCTCAGATCTCAGCCTCCTGAGTAGCTTGGATTACAGGCGTGAGCCACCAGCACCCAGCTAACATAATTATAAGAGTCAAAAAATGTGGTGAACACCAAAGCAGTAGCATTGGTTTCTTTCTTTCTTTTTTTTTTTTTTTTGGGTCCGGTCGTGGGGCCTGAACTCTGGGCCTGGGCACTGTCCCTCAGCTCTTCAGCTCAAGGCTAGCGCTCTACCAGTTGAGCCACAGCGCCACTTCCGGCTTTTTCTGTTTATGTGGTGCTGAGGAATTGAATCCAGGGCCTCATACATGCAAGGTAAGCACTCTACCACTGAGCCACCTTCCCAGCCTGCTTTGGTTTCTTTCTATAACATAATAAAGCATATTTTTTGGTGATTATCTTGTGTTTTCCATTATATTTTTATGGAATCTTATGTAAGGTCAGTAATTCTTATGCATTTTAGCTTTCAGCTCAAAGATGCATAGTGTTTTAGGGAACTGTTAGTACTTTTTCAAGTCATCACTACCTTCTCAAAATGCTTATAAAATAGTATATTCCACCTTAGAAACATGTTTGGATTCTCTAACTACTTGGTTGTTTACAGGGTGAAGGTTTACTTTTTCCCCAAACTTCTGTATGTTCTGTATGAAATATATTCTTGCAACATTTACTTCACTAGGATAATATATCTGGTTGTCAAAGAAACTACTTGTATAGTCTTCAGCAAAATAATATATCTATTTGAAAAGAACACTGGGTATTTGCTACAACTAAGAAAATAAAATAATTATGGAGAATTTTTTATCTTTGACATTATATCTTATGTTTAAAAGATCAAAGTATGAACTCACTGACAAAGAGATGGTCTCTTCCAATTTTAAGTTTATACTGACCCCTATGGGTCATTGTGTTCTAATTTCTAGGTTGTTTTACAGGAAATGTAGTTAAGTATTTAAGAATTTGGTTAAAATGTCAAATGTTTGCAATTAGGATTTAATTATTTGGGGATAAAAGTCATGACATATTCGTATGTCCTTTCTCTCCTTCTATTATACAATTGAAAGTATCCACAAATTCAGTTTATTTATTTAGATGGCATTGGTTTCAGTGTTAATTTACTGAGGACAAAGGAAATATACAGTGTAATTTTTTTCATAAATTTTATTTTATTGTAAAAGTGAAGTACAGAAGGGTTACAGTTACATAAGTCAATGAGTACTTTTCTTTTCAAACAATGTTACCCTTCCCTGTTTATTTTTCCTGCTTTCTCTTCCCCCTACTATCCTCCCCCTTCAAGTTGTAAAATTCATTTCCAGAATAGTGCCCAGTATCACTGTTGCATTGGTTCACCCTTTGTCTCACTGTTTCTGTGATCACAGTGTAATTTGTAACTTTCAGAAAAATGTGACCTAATTGTTTTCTTCAAGGTCTGCTCTATTTTTCCTGCCCAAGGTACATTAAAACAATTAACTTTGAAGTTATATAGAAAATTGTATATAGGTAAGATAGATTATGGAGGACTGAGAGCATGCTGAATTATAGTCAACTTTGGTGGAGACAGATTTATTCCATGTCAAAGAGGAAATTTTTTATATGATGAGCAAAATTCCAAACCATATTCTTATAGACTAGGGAAAGGAATTACAGAAGGAGCAAATGTTATACACTTCTCTTTTCCTTTATGTCAAGATATGGTTTTACTACCATGCAAATATATTCTAAAAGCAAAATTACTATCAATATTTTCACAACACTTAAATGGAGAGCTAACATGTTTGTATTTCAGAGTAACTTATTCCATTATATAAATATAAATTTTGTACATATTGTACTGAGGATGACATTAATACTGAATTTCATAAAACTTCTATAGGAATTTGTTCACTATTACCAGGATAAACTTTGTAAATCTGTATTTTTAAAATTTATACAACATAAGAATTGTACATATATATAGGATAGTGTAACACTTTTTAATATTTTAAATGTGGCAGATTTAAATGCACAAATATGTATACCAATCAATTCACTGTAGAGAAAGGATTAATTGGAAAAAATGGAAGGAACTTGGAATGTGTGGTCAGTCAATACAAGGTGTCATAGTATAGACTGTCATGGTCTAGGTCCTTAACATTCACTAACTCATTATCATTACTTCTTACAGGAGTGGAGGACTAATGCAATCAGGAACAATTCTATTTCCTGAGGACAATGAAAAGTTCATGGTTATAATGTTTAATGCTTCTAAATGCTTCTCTGTTTAATGCTTCTAAAACATTATATTTTAAACAGGTTTAGTTTTGTGGTGGTATACACTTAGCTTTTTGAGATAGTACCTTTAAATGACATTAAACATTCAGACGAATTGCCTTATGGGAATGAAAAATGTGGAACTGGACAATCCTACATAGCCTCTTCATTTTAATTTACTTTGGTAGATGCTCTCCTGATAGCAAATAATTGAAAAATGTACAAAATGTCTTCACAAGGGCTTGTGATTAAACAAACTTGTGCATAAATATCAAGATCTTTATGATTAAGATATTACTCTGGGGCTGGGAAGGTGGCTCAGTGGTAGAGCTCTTGCCTTGCATGCATGAGGCCCTGGGTTCGATTCCTCAGCACCACATAAGCAAAAAGAAAAAAAGCCGGAAGTGGAGCTGTGGCTCAAGTGGTAGAGCGCTAGCCTTGAGCTGAAGAGCTGAGGGACAGTGCCCAGGCCTAGAGTTCAGGCCCCATGACCGGACCCCCCCCCCAGAAAAAATATTACTCTGTTATTGGATATGCATATAATAAGTAGTCCCATAAAATCACTACAGGTCAGTCTGAGGAACAGATGTCTCCCAGATCAGAAATTACAACTGCGAAAGGGATCTCCAATGATTAACAAAGTAAATGCTATTTGGGCCTCTCTAATAAAAAGACAAAATGCCTGGGTAGCAACCTTGCATGTTCAGAGTCAGAAGATTATATCTGTATCCAAGGACACAAACAATAAAAAGTGAAGAAACCTGAAGTCATCATATGATAAATTAAAGTAGCACTCTGGGTGTCTCTGACAGGGTACAGAAGTTAGTCTTGCTAGGAAAAAAAAGAAAAAAACCTAAGGCAACCAGCCTGCACTGAGTGTTGACAGCGCTCCAAGCAGGGTGTTATCGTCATAATTCTGCAAGGTGAATCTTCACACCTCTCTACTACCGAGGATACAAAGGTTCTCAGTAGTCAAGTGTCTTACTTACATTTTCACAATTTGTGCTGAAAACAGATTTTGAAATACAGATCTTGGGACTGGGAAGGTGGCTCAGTGGTAGAGTGCTTGCCTTGCATGCCTGAGGCCCTGGGTTCGATTCCTCAGCACCACATAAGCAAAAAGAAAAAAGCTGGAAGTGGTGCTGTAGCTCAAGTGGTAGAGCACTGAAGAGCTGAGGGACAGTGCCCAGGCCCAGAGTTCAGGCCCCACCACCGGAACCCCCCCCCCCCAAAAAAATACAGATCTTGGAGAAAAGGTTACAGTAAAATGACACACAATCGAAGTCAGAAGGTACAAATGAATTTAAGTTTTTCCCCTGATGATTACAGTATCTATGTAGAATACAGTATATTATGTGGAATTCAGGGCTTCTCTAACTCTACATTTCTTCTTTTCTTCTTCAATCCTGTCTTCAACATTCACTTCAATGCAAATTACTTGAAACTTTGTATCCTACTTCCGATTTTCAAGATGTTCTAACAAACAAATATTTTATCCAATACCATTCCCTCCTTTTCTGTGGCCTATCAGCTAATGATTGCAGCTCTCCTAGATTGTGTGCATGTTATTTCATCTTGTGCATGCAGGGTTTTTTTTTTTTTTTTTTTTTGGTCTTTTTTGTTTTTGCCAGTCCTGAGGCTTGAACTAAGGGTCTGGGCACTGTCCCTGAGCTTCTTTTGTTCAAGGCTAGCATTCTACCACTTGAGCCACAGCACCACTTCCAGCTTTTCCTGTTCATGTGGTGCTGGGGAATTGAATCCAGGGCTTGATGCACACAGGGCAAGCACTCTATCACGAAGCCACCTTCCAGCCCTGCGCAGGCAGTTTTCGTGGATTTTGTGAGACATTTCCATATTGTTAGCTGTAGCAATAACGATTCCAAGTTGGAATCATTCCTGTGTGTCAAACTCTCCCACAATATTTTCAAAGGCCAATCCATCATTACATAAACCGGGAACTTTCAGATGGATCCATTCCCTGAGGGAACGCAGTGTCACCCAAGCAACTACCCGCTAAGGACGGTCAACAGCGTCTTTATAATGAACACTTGGCTGCTTAATTTCTGAAGGTCCGAATTTCATCCGCCCCTCACCAGGACAAAGGTTAAAGTGTGCATCAACAGCCAGCAGAAGCGGGAGCAGTCCTGCAGCGTCCACACAGACTTCCCGGGAGAATTGTCTCCCGTTAACGGGCTGAGCACGGAAATGGAAGGACGGAGCAGGGGACGACGGAGGGGAACCGAGGGGACATTAGTGGACGCGGAGCCAAGAAGGCCCTGGATGGCCGGGGACCGAGCGCCACCGCGGTCTGTGCCCTCGAACGCGGACACTCAGGAACACGGGAAGAAGAGGTGGGGTTTTCCTCCTATTGTTTTCTGAAGGTGGCCGGCACGGTCAGCCCAGGTCTGGGCCAGAGTCGGTGAGGAACTCGGCTGGAAGACACAGCCCGCCAGCCCAAGCAAACACCCCCGGCCGCGAGGGCTCGGGGCTCCGGGTCCCACCCACCCTGGGCGGAAGTGACGCGTGGAGGGGCGGGGCGACGGCGGGCGGCTGCGCGCTGCGCCGGAAGTGCCTTCCAGATAGTAAATAAGCTGGGAAAAGCCAGGAGGAGGCCGTCTCCATCTTGTCGGCGCCCGCCGCTCCCGCGACGTCGTGAAGATGGGGAGCGTCCTGGGGCTCTGCTCCGTGGCAAGCTGGGTAAGGAGGAAGAAACCTCCCTGGGGTCGTGGGCGCTGAGCGTGGGGGGACTGGAGAGGGAGGCCGGAGCCGGGCTGCGGCAAGGCCGGCGGGGGCGAGCTGCCTCCCACCGGCTCCCTGCGGGCCCCGTTTCTCCCCAGCTCCGCCCGGCTCGCTCCCACCCGCCTCGGGGTGGGACTCCGCCGGGAGTGAAGGGTGTGTCGGCCGTGGGTGGGGGGAGTGAGAAGGGACCTGCCCCCCCCCCCAGCGGTGCCCCGCGGCGGCCTAGGCCCCGGCCAGCGCCCTGCGCCCCCCGCCCCGTCCCCGCCGGGGTGCCCGGGCCGCTGCTCAGGCCGCGGCGGCCTAGGCCCCGGCCAGCGCCCCCCGCCCCGTCCCCGCCGGGGTGCCCGGGCCGCTGCTCAGGCCGCGGCGGCCTAGGCCCCGGCCAGCGCCCCCCGCCCCGTCCCCGCCGGGGTGCCCGGGCCGCTGCTCAGGCCGCGGCGGCCTAGGCCCCGGCCAGCGCCCTGCGCCCCCCGCCCCGTCTCCGCCGAGGTGCCCGGGCCGCTGCTCAGGCCGCGGCGGCGGCGGCGCTGTCGTCACCCGACCCCTCTTTTGTTCGGACGCACCGAGCTGCACACCGCTCAGGCCTGGTGCTCGGAGCGTCTACCTGGCGTGGTACTGGTGCCGTCCGCGTCGGTTTTGGAACCAGCCGTGGTAGCTCGGGCCGCTGGCCCCGCGGCCTTACCGTGGCAGCGGGGATTCGCTCTGTTCCCGGCGTCATCGGGTCCGTGCCGGCAAAGAGCGGTTCCGACCGGCGACGATCGGCCTAGTTCTTGGGACGTGGAGCGCGCACACGCACCACGAAATTTGATGTCTGGGTGGGGGTGGGGCGTGATGCTGCTTTTTCCTCAGGTACTGAGCGAGCCACGGTCTTCGTCAGGCCGGTGAGGTTTGCTAACCCGGGGGCCAGGGCAGGCAGGGATTATTGCCTCGGTACATTTAAGATGACATCTTTCTCCAAAAAAGAAAAATAAAAAAAGAAAAGGAACAGGTTGTGTGGTGAATTCCGACATTTGTGATTTGGGACGAGGTACATGGATTTTAATCTTTTTAAATTTGCGATTTCTAAATTCCACTTCACCAAGTTGTTTCACTTGTGAAATAATTCCAGTATGTATCCATGAACCAATATGGTGATTCTTTTACATCCCTCACTTCCTTGCAAAAAGGTTTGGGTGTGACTTGGAATTAGTATAGGAAATTGAAATTATATAATATGGCCTGTTCCAACCAGGCCATTCTCGAATTTCTGTTCCTTCTTGCAATTAGGTATGGAAATATGTTGTATTTAATAAGATGAGAATCATGGAGTCCGTTGACCCTTGTATACAAAAAAAAGGCAAATTTATTATAGTAAACGTATTAAAATTAATGTCATTATCATAGATTCTTTAATTTTTTGATAATGCTGTTTAATTTGTAATATATCCGGATTTGTCCAGGAATCGTGTGGGCATACTGCAAGTCTCTGTATTGTAAGGGTACAAAAAGAGGAATATGTGTTTTCCATTTTATTCTTTATCAGATTGATGAGCAACTGTTTTGTCTCAAGGACAATGTAATATTTGCATATTACATATATATGTTTATGTTTCGAAGGTTGTGTGTGTGTGTGTTATGTCAGAAAGAAAAAGCTTTAGAGAACACCGTGGAAAATTATATTTTTATTATTATTGCCATTTTTGTTGATCAGAAGAATGTTCTCAATAAAACTGCCATTCATTCACTATAAATTCCTGGGTACACTTACCTTCCAATAATTAGATATCTGTCAGATACAAAAGCTAGGGAGCCAAGGCAGTTATTTATTGTGGTTGACCTAATAAGGTTACATGACAGTCAGTCTGAATCCTCTTTTCCCTTTCCTTTTTCTGTGTCTTTATTCCTAAATTACTCAATTTTAGGCTCATATCTGTAGTAGTGAATGGGAATTTGCTTTGTGAAACATGTTATCTCTTCCACAGTAATAAAAATTAATATTTTTATTTAAATGTTTTGATGAAATGGAAATTTACTTAATTGCTCAAAACTAGAATTCAGATAATTGGATTAGATTAGGTAACCCAATTAACAACAGATCTAATTTCTTTTGTACAAGTTTTTGTTGTTGTTTGCAGGCCTGAATTTAGTATCCTTTTCTAATTCATAAAATAATTAAAGAATATATCTGGACTATTTTAAGTACTTTTCACCAACCTCATCTCAACATTGCTGTTAGCAAATAGAATTGACTTATTGAACGACTAGACTTGGTATACTGTAGCATTCATTTTTCATTTTTCCTAATATATTTAATATTGTTAAGTAGTTAAGAAAAATAACATGCAAACCATGGATTTTTATTTTTTGTAGACAGAAACCAAGCAGTGCCAACAAACTGAATTGAAAATATTTGAAAGAATAAAAAAGAATCCATGCTGAATAGGTGCAGACATTTTTCTTGTCATTCTCTAAAAAAATGTATAACAACTATTTGCATGGTATTTACATTGAATTAGGTATTGTAAATAATACAGAGATGGTTTAAAGTAAACTAGGATGTGCATAAATTACATGCAAGTAATAACAGTTTTGAACTTGGAGTTTGGTCTCTTCATTCGTCTTTGAATAAACTTCATAATTGACTGAGAGTACACTCACCTTTAAGATGAAACCACTTTTTTCTGCACTGCTTGTTCCCCTTCTTGTTTTACAATTATAGTTTGGTATGGTGTACCTTGAGAAAAAAGCATGGCAAATACACTAGTTGGGCATAGAATTGTAACTTGGAAGTCTTTTTTTCTTAGCAATTTGAAAGCATTGCTCCTTTGGCATCTGACTTTCAGTGTTGGCTATTAAGATGTTGAAGTCAGTTTTAAAAAATATTTGTGACCTCCCACCTTCCCATCTCCACCAGTTGAATTTTTGAGTTCTTTTCCTTCGCCTTTGTATTTTCTCCATTTTATTTCTGTTATACAGAAACTGATTTCTGGACAGAAACACTAGGTTTCTTTCCTATTCATTGACTTTTTTTTCACTGTTGTCTGAGAAATCTGATTGTTTTCGATTTTTCTTTTTATTAACTATATAAACTTGAAAATTTTAATTAGGAATCTTTTCCATTGGATCTATTTTAATATCTTAGTATTGTTTCATGAAAGTAATCCTAGAATGCTATTAAAATGAATCAGAAATAGTCGTCTTTTTAAGTTATCTATGTAAGTATAATAAAAACATTAAAAAACTAGATCTTTTCATGCTTTCATCTCCCTGCAGTTTGTTTCCTTCAACTTTTACCAAAAAATTACTTTCCATTCATGTTAAAATTTTCCTCAGTTTTCAGTGGATTCTATAATATTCTGACATAGCATTTTGGTTAAAAAAAAAAAAGTTGTTAGCTTTTCATTGCAGAAAAGGAATGCAGGCATTTATCTAAGACTGTTGATAAACCATTACTGGACTCAGAGGAAATTTCCAGATTTCTACCTGGAAAGTTGGGAGCCATGTCTGCTAAGGTTCCCACTTTCAATATATGAAGTTAACAACATTGTTAGTGTATTACTACTGTTGTCAGTTTTATTTAGTGTTCAACCAGTGGAGCGCTCTTTGTTTTTGTTCTTTACATTTAACTAATCATCTTACATTCACATTTACTTTTATTGTCATTTTTGGAGGCACTTGATGCTACCAATTCTTGATCTATTTGAGAATACTGCTAAACATATCTTGTTAGTTCTTACCTTTCTTGATGGCTTAGAATTGAATTTTCTTGCTCTGTTATGGCACTAACTGCTTTCTACTTTCCACTTTTCAATTCTAGTTTTTCAATTTTTTAAAATTTTATTCTTTTAATATATACCTTTATTTTTCCTTTCCTTTGGTTTCTACAGGGAACATATATTTACTGTGCCATCTTTAACCAGAAGCACTTTGTGTCATTATTTTCATGTAGCCATTATGTAGTCAGTTCTCAAAGTTTGTTTCTTGGGCACTGGACATCAGTATTACCTAGAAATACATTGGAAACCCTGGCTGTGATTTAGTATTCTACATTTTCATAAATTCTGCATAATTCTGGTAACAACTTACTGTACAGGAACTTGTGCTCTACATTTAAGTTGGCTTAGAGCTCTCAGTATCTTTTTTTTAATATTACTAATTAATGTGAAAAGGATTGTGTGTTTTGAATTCCCTGTGGTTTTATAGTTGAAAATATAAAAACTGAGAGACAGTTTAGGTGTATAAATACAGTATTTTTTCCTTTATTTTGTAGTTATTCCATTTTATTATCTTACATTCTGTACTTTTGTAGCCTATTTTACATATGTGTAATATCTTAGTTTTCTGAGTAAAATTTACCTTTCTAAGATGTCATTCTAGAAATCATAGCATATGAACTTTGAGTCTGCTGTTCTACTGAACAGTTTACAAGTAATTATTGTTACAGGTATTAGTACTCTTCATTTTTATTGTTGACACATAGTAACTACCAGTTTTTAAAATAGCTACACCATTTTTTTACACCTTTTCTTTGGACATCATTTTTTTTTCTAGACTTCTAGTGTAGAAAGACTACTTTTCTAGTTTTTCTAAGTGTTTCTACTCTTTCAGGTCTTTCCTGTTGCTGTGTATGTGGTTGGTTCTAATGTGCAGGCAATAAAAGCTGTATCCCTAATAATTACAGTAAACAGGTTTTATATGGTTACTTGTCATCCATACAGTTTTGGTGAGAAATACCTGTTTTTATGTTTTTTTTTTGGGCGGGGGGGGGGGGGGTCCGGTTGTGGGGCCTGAACTCTAGGCCTGGGCGGTGTCCCTCAGCTCTTCAGCTCAAGGGTAGTGGTCTACCACTTGAGACACAGCGCCACATCTGGCTTTTTTCTTTTTGCTTATGTGGTGCTGAGGAATTGAACCCAGGGCCTCATGCATGCAAGGCAAGCACTCTACCGCTGAGCCACCTTCCCAGCCCCTGTATGTTTTTTTAAATTTGTTTTCATACTGAGTTTTGAGCGTTTCTTTTATATTCTGGATAAAAATAATTTCTTAGATAACCTAATTTGTAAATACTTTGTTTAAATCAGTATCTTTATGATGTGTAAATGTTAGTCATTTTTTATCAAAATTTTTTGGTAGTTGAGTGTCTTTGTGTTATTAGACTTTAGTTTTCACAGATGGTTTGCTTATGGCTTACTTTGAAAAATATGGATATGGCCTGATGCCGGTGGCTCATACCTGTAATCCTAGCTACTCAGGAGGCTAAGATCTCAGGATCATGGTTTGAATCCAGCCAGGGCAGGAAAGTCCCAGTGAGACTCTTAGAAAAGCTGAAAGTGGTGCTGTGGCTCTAGAGGTAGAGCACTAGCCTTGAGCACAAAGAGATTCAGAGACAGCACCAATGTCATGAGTTCAGGCTCTGGGACAGACCAAAAACAAAAAAATAATATGTACAAACAAATATATATATACACATAGATATATAGATATATATCTATATATATATACACACATATGGGTATCTATTTGGGCACCATTTGTTAAAGACTTTTATTAGTATATTTGGGCAACATTTGTAAAAAGATTATTCTTTCTATATTGACTTGCTTTGATATCTGTACAAAAATCCTTTGACCATATTTTTATAAATTAGTTCTGTTTTATTAGTCTTTTTGAGTTCTGTTTTATTTGTATCTACCATTTTGTCTATCACTGTCTTCAGTAATCATGCTGTCATTGTAAAGTTCTTCTTAAAATCTATTATAAATTTTTCAACTTTATATTTTTCAAAACACATTCAGCCATTCTAGTTTCTTTGCCTTTATGTGTAAGTATTTAAAGTACTAGTTTGCTTATGGAAAACTTCTACTGGCATTGTGATTGAAATTGTATTAGTTTGGAAGGAGCTGACAGATCTCTTCATGCATGAGTCCAATGTATTTTACTACTTTAGGTCCTTTGTCTGCATTTTGTAGTTCATTGTTTTCATCTTAATTATCTTTTTTTTCTTTTTTTAAAGTTGAATGTAAAATTTCTTGGCATCATTTTAACTAATACTGATTCTTAATTTTTTTCCCAGATACCATGTCTCTGTGGTAGTGCCCCCTGTTTGCTGTGCCGATGCTGTCCTAGTGGAAACAACTCCACTGTGACTAGATTGATCTATGCACTTTTCTTGCTTGTTGGTGTGTGTGTGGCCTGTGTAATGTTGATACCAGGAATGGAAGAACAACTGAATAAGGTTAGTGGATTTTCTGTCTTACAACTGGTTTTTGGCTGTTAAAGAGAAAATAATGTAAAAATATATGTAATCCTAATTTTAGTAGCTTATATTTCAGGTAAAACAAAGACAGTATGAGATAGCTTATTCAGTTCTATGAGGATGATACAGAGAATGTGCATTAGCAAGTGAAGAGAAAAATCTAAACTAAAACAGATGAAAGTGTCTAAGTGTTATGGAAAATGGAAATGAGATATTATTATTTTTTCCCTGAAAAGGAACATTATAAAAATAAATGCGGCTTTCATATGCAAAGAATGAAACTCAGGAAGCATAAGACTGTAAAAGATTTTTGAGCATAGTGTATATGTGCTTTAGGAAGATTAAGCTGAATAGGAATAAAGCAGTTCTGTGTTAAAGCTGTTACAGTGATGTAATCAGATTATATAGAGACCTAAAATAAAGTTTATGGATGTAAAATTGAGTCTGACTCTGGATAGCTTTTAAATAGTGCTGAAATCAAGACAAGCAAGTTGTGTTTCTAGAAGATTGGGAGCAGTCTGTTGCTTTTAGCCCAACAGAAAAGTAAGGATACTTTATTTTTTGTTTCATTTGAATTATTTTTAATGGGTCAGGTTTTAGAAGGAGGCAGAGAAAATATCATAAATTTAGTTTCTAGTATGCTGTCTTTGAGATATTCATCATAACAATAATAACATAATTTTCAACAGAAATTTGGTAAATTTGTTGATAAGTTATCAACAGAAATTTCACACTTGCAGAGGCTAGAAGTCTGAGGTCACGGTGCCAGGGGTTCAGTTACATTGAGGATGTTGTTTATTTGTAGATGGAGCAAAGTCATCTCTTGTCTCTTTAAACAACAGCAACAACAAAAATCCCACTAATTCCATCAGTTTCAGTCTCTTTTACTATCCCAAAGTGGAGTTAAGGTTTCCATGTATGAATTACATACTTGAAGTCCATAACTATATATAGCAGGAAGTGGAAAACATAGGTGTATAGTACAATGAGAATTCATAGCTTGTCTTGGGAAAGGTGAAAGTTGAAGCCTTTGGCAACATTTGCTGAAGTGGACCATTCAGAGAGAGCAGTGTTATAACTTTGTTAAAAGTTCTTGTTTTAGGGAACTGACAGAGAAAGAAAATCCTCTGAAGTTACATTTAGAAAAGGAGAACCAAGACAGTGATTAGGAAAAATTTTAAGATGACAAGATAGGGTCAGAGTAAAAACAAAGAGATGAATGTAAGGACTAAGAAATTGCTTTTAAAGTTCTCCATTAGGATACAGTTTGTGTCTAACCATATTTTTAGAGTGCTGGAGCTAGAAGTGAGGGCATATAATTCATTGTTGAACATAGAGGTGATACATAGTCCTCAACAGTATGCTACTACCTTAAATAAATATTCTTTTTTGTATTGTGTTGACAATGTGACTGTTTTTTCCTTTTTTCTTTTGTGGTATTGGGTATCAAACCCAATGTCTCATCCATGTTAGGCAATCATTGTACCGGTGATGTTAGTCCCCAACAATGTGACTTTCTAAAGTGGTCTTTTTTTTTTTTTGTCAGTCATGGGACTTGAACTCAGGGCCTGGGCACTGTCTCTGAGCTTTTTTGCTCAAGACTAACACTCTACCACTTGAGCCACAGTGCCACTTCCAGCTTTTTCTGTGATTAATTGGAGAGAAGAGTCTGGAGGACTTTCCTGCTATGGCTGGCGTGGAACCAGGATCTTCACATCTCAGCTTCCTGAGTAGCTAGGGTTAGAGGCATGAGCCACCAGCACCCAGCTTCACTGGTCTCTTTCAAATTTTTCAGTTAAAATATAAAACTACTGTCAGTTCATATATTGTTAGGTCAAATTTGTTTATGATCACAAATAGCACTTGTAGAATAAAAGTTCCAAAAGTAAACATGTATTTAAAGTAACATTGGTTTTGAAAGGCACTATTCTTTTTAGTTCTTAGGAGGACTTCCTTTACAATTCCTTAAGTTTTTATTTAAAGCTCTAACAGTTTTTTTCACTTATATTTCAATTCAGTATTTTGCAGTAGAATGCAATTTAAAAAATTTAGGGCTGGTGGCTGAAATAATAGAATACTTGCCTAAGCAAGCATGAGGCCCTAAGTTCTAAACCCCTGAACCAAAAAAAAGACAATAAATGTATCTCAGAAGAAGCATCTAGTTTAAATGAATACTGGTAGGAGGTTATCATTTGTTCTCATGGAAGTTTAGTTTATATTTTTCATTTTATATGATAAAATGTGCTAGGTGTCTTGATTATCATAAAGTATAAAGCAAACTTATATTTTCCAACCTTTAAACTGTCTGATTATATAGAATTTGCATTTTTAATGAAAAATTGTTTCTTGGTTTCCTAGATTCCTGGCTTTTGTGAAAATGAGAAAGGTGTAGTTCCTTGCAGTATTCTGGTTGGATATAAAGCTGTGTATCGTTTGTGCTTTGGCTTGGCTATGTTTTATCTTCTCCTCTCTTTGCTAATGATCAAAGTGAAGAGTAGCAGTGATCCTAGAGCTGCAATACACAATGGGTAAGTTTTTGTGTGAGCTTCAGTATAGAAGTATGGATAACTTATCTAAAGAAATTTTAAAACAAAATATATATACTTCATGAATAAGGTCTGAAAACCCTGATGTTTCTACTAGAGAATATCAGGTATTATATATTAAATGATAGCTGTGGATCGTTTATTGGTATTGGTATCTTTGGTTATTTATTCACCATTGATTGATTTATAATCTTCTATGTTTCACCTTAAAAGGAAGAGCTATATTTTTGACTACTAAAATAAGAGGTATTCCTCCCCTACTTGTAGCTTTTAATGGACCAGTCCTGTCAGAACTCTCAGCTTCCTAGACTACAGTGCAGCCAGAATGGAAAGCCTTATTCCTGAACAGGTTATTAATTTTCTAAATGATTGATTGTACTGTGCAACTGAGAAAGAAACTTAAGCCTGGCACTGGTAGCTCATACCTGGAATCCTTGCTACTCAGGAGCCTGGAATCTGAAAGATCATGATTCAAAGACAGCTCAGGCAGAACATTGTGAGATTCTATCTCCAAAATAACTAGCAGAAAGCAGCGCTAAAGTGGTAGAGCATCAGCTAAGGATGCAAAAGTGAGTGCAAAGTTCTGAATTCAAACCCCAATACTAATAAAGGAAGGGAGAGAGTTGGTTTTATCAGTCTCCACTAAGACACTACATATGCTACATAATGTAAATGTTTGATGGGACTATTTTGCTTTTGTATATTTTTTTATGTACCTCACAATTTGATTTTGTAGTATCTGCTGTTGGTTTTGTTATGTGATACTAAAGACAAGATAAACAAATGGAATATTAATACTAATGAAAAATTGTGACATACTCAGTCTTTTGGTTATTGATTGTTTTAAATTACTACTTCAGGCTGAAGTCATTTGTTTATAAAAGCTATTTGTGAAATTAAATTTTGCTTTACACTTTTATACATTAACCAACTTATGTCAAATAAACCTATGAAATAGAACCCATATTTTCATATGAATTAGTGACAAATATATTTTTCTTAAAACTATCTGGAAAGCAGTTTTTGTAATAGATTTTTTGTATTCCGGATATCCTCAGAAGAGTTTCTTAAAGATTTCTTAAAAGATTTTATATACTATTTGCTAGATGAAATATAAATAAAAATTGTATATGTTTTAGATTCTGGTTTTTTAAATTTGCTGTGGCTGTTGCAATTATCATTGGAGCATTCTTCATTCCAGAAGGAACTTTTACAACTGGTAAGTTTTGTTGTTGTTGTTTTTTAAATGTGTCACATTGATGTGCTATAAAGGAAGCTATCATCATTGTTACCTAGACATGTATCTGAGTTTTTTGGTCCAGTTACAAAATCAGAGCATCTATATAAAAGCTTATTTTTCTTTTTTGTCCTCCCATTATGAAAAGATAATAATAAAAATGAAACTAGCCACTCACTTGCATGTGTGCTAATTTTTTCTTTCAGTGTGGTTTTATGTAGGCATGGCAGGTGCCTTTTGTTTCATCCTCATTCAGCTAGTCCTACTTATTGATTTTGCCCATTCATGGAATGAATCATGGGTTGAAAAAATGGAAGAAGGGAACTCAAGATGTTGGTATGCAGGTAAGCCTACATCTCAGAATATCTTCAATATGTTTGAACTTTTGTGAAAACATACATAGAGAATAGGGCAGTCACTTAAAATTTTTATTATATAATACCATTTAAAGAGGTTTTTGTTGTTCTGGAGAGTGAATTTAGAGCGTCATGCTTGCTAATCAGGAGCTCTACCACTTAAACCATGCTTCCAGACCCCTTTTTAGTGTTCATTTTCAAGGCTTTATGCATAGGGTGATCTAGGCTGTGATCTTTCTACTTGTGATGATGGATGAGAACTACAAAGTTTAAGCTGCCAGTCGCCGGTGGCTCATAGCTGTAATCCTAGCTACTCAGGAGGCTGAGATCTGAGGATCATGGTTCAAAGCCAGCCCGGGCAGGAAACTCAGTGAAACTCTTATCTCCAATAAACCATCAGAAAACCGGAAGTGGTGCTGTAGCTCAAGTGGCAGAGCACTAGCCTTGAGCTGAAGAGCTGAGGGACAGCCCTCAAGACTCAGATTTCAAGTCCCATGACTGACAAAAAAAAAAACTATAATGTTCACCCATTGTGTTCCACCTGTAACTGGGATAACAGGTATGCACCATCCCAGCCATTAGTTGAGGTGCAGTCTTGTGAATTTTTATCACCAGATGGCTTGGAGCCCCAGTTCCCCATCTTTGCCTCCCAAGTAATTTAAGGTTACAAGATTTAGATACTGTAACTGCCTATGAAGAGGTTTTCAGTTTTAAGCTTATGAGTGACATCATATCATATTGTATTAGCAACTTAGCATTTTTAAGATCTTTGACAAACTAGAAACATACCCAACAACTGGGAAAGAATCCAAAAGAACTTGAGTAGTTAAAAAGAATGTTGCTTCCTGGGCTGGGAAGTTGGCTCAGTGGTAGAGCGCTTGCCTTGCATGCCTGAGGCCCTGGGTTCAATTCCTCGGCACCACATAAGCAAAAAGAAAAAAAGCCGGAAGTGGCGCTGTGACTCAAGTGGTAGAGCGCTAGCCTTGAGCTGAAGAGCTGAGGGACAGCGCCCAGGCCCAGAGTTCAGGCCCCACAACCGGACCAAAAAAAAAAAAAAAAATGTTGCTTCCTGACTTGTGTCTAATGCCTATAATCCTAGCTAATGTAGAGGCTGAGATTTTAGTTGGTGAGGAAAAACTTCCTTTAATGGGTTCAACATTAACAATGATAATAGTTCTGTTTCTTAATGCCCTTGTTTACAATGTAATAGTAAGGGGGTTGTTTTTATCTTTTTTTCTTTACCAAGTTTTTTATGAGTGTACCTTATACAATGGGAAGTTTCATTTTGCCATAACATTTATATACAGTGTATTTCAATCAAGTCAGTGCTATAACTCTACCATACCTCTTCTCCGCTTGTTTGGGGGTTTTTTGTTTTGTTTTTTTGTCAGTCGTGGGGCCTGAACTCTGGGCCTGGGCACTGTCCCTCAGCTCTTCAGCTCAAGGCTAGCACTCTACCACTTGAGCCACAGCACCACTTCTGGCTTTTTCTGCTTATGTGGTGCTGAGGAATTGAACCCAGGGCCTCATGCATGCAAGGCAAGCACTCTACCACTGAGCCACCTTCCCAGCCCATCTTCTCCACTTCTTAAAACAATTTCAACAGGTTTATTCTATTTTCATGCATGCAAATAAACTACGTCAGCCCTATTCATTCTTACTCACCATCCTCAGTAGTCCTCTCTGCTACTTCCAATCCTCTGAAGCCTGTATTATTTTCCTGTCATTCATTCTTTGATTAGTTGTACCAGTGTATTTCACTGCAATATTTCATTGATATATATTATATTTCAGTCACTTCAGTTACTGCTTCTCTTTTCTTAATACACTGCTGATGAACAGCTTTCATGGAGTCTTAATGCTACTCTCTTCATACATAGTTACAAAGTACTTCAAATTTACTCACCTTTCCTCTTCCTTCTTTTGCTCATTTGTTGAACTAGACCTTACTAGGTCATACCTTACTAGGTCATACATATTTATGGAAATGTACACAGGTATATGTACTCTTGTGCATAAATATATATATATATACACAGAGAAAAGATGATTCTAACTGTTGGACTGTTCAGGAGGATGACGGGGAGGCGAGAAAGAAAAGGAAAGATGGAGGGTGCATAAATCCTAATTATTTTTATCATTAATGCTTGAAATATAACATGGGGTATGTAAGCACTATAGATATCTATATCTATAATATAGATAGACATACTACTAAAAATTGTATTTTTATGTTCCTACATTATTGTCCTTAAAAATGTCCTAGTGAGCTATGTGAAAAACAGTGAAAATCTTCAGTAACAAAATTTAGTTGTTTTTCCCAATTTTGAAACCTGCATAATGCTAATTTAGTTGCTTTTTAAAAAGAATTTAAAAATTAATTCTATGCCTAGTTCCTAATCTTCATGATAAAACCTAATTATTCATTTGTATTTCTCCCACAGCCTTACTGTCTGCTACGGCTCTGAATTATCTGCTATCTTTAGTTGCCATCGTCTTATTCTTTGTCTACTATACTCATCCAGCTAGTTGTTCAGAAAATAAGGCATTCATCAGTGTCAACATGCTCCTCTGCATTGGCGCTTCCGTGATGTCTATACTGCCAAAAATCCAAGTATGCTTTTCCTAGCACTAGTTGTTAGAGAAAGTTCACCTCTATAAATTTTAATAATCTTGAATTGTCAGAATATTTATCTTTATCTCTTACTTCTTTGTAGGAGTCACAACCAAGATCTGGTTTGTTACAGTCTTCAGTAATTACAGTCTATACAATGTACTTGACATGGTCTGCTATGACCAACGAACCAGGTATGTTTTATTTTTTCTTTTTCTTTTTTTTTTTGTCAGTTATGGGGCTTGAACTCTGGGCCTGAGCACTGTCCCTCAGCTTTTCTGCTCAAGGCATGCACTCTACAACTTGAGCTACAGCGCCACTTCTGGTTTTGTTGGAGATAGGAGTCTCATAGTTTTTCCTGCCCAGGCTGGCTTTGAACCACGATCCTCAGATCTCAGCCTCCTGAGTAGCTGGGATTACAGGTGTGAGCCATCAGTACCCGGCTGTTTTATTTTTTCTTAATGAGTCCTGCACTGTTCCTTTGTATTCATTATGGAAGCTCAAGCTACTTAGAAATTAAGCCATTAAAGGAATAAAATCTGGGAAGCCTACCTTTTAGTTTTGATGGGTTAAATATTTCCACTTACTTTCTTTACTCTGTCTCAACAAAACTATGAAGCTATAAAATTAAATGAGAATTATATGGTTTACTCTTAATTTACACGGTACACAATATCTAGAAAGAAATAAAATCTAGAATTCTTTATTATAAATTCTAATTTTTTATTATAAATTTTTATATTATTGTTCTTTTTGTCTGACCTTGCAATTGAATAAGATGATTGGGTTTATAGTGAATGTTTATAGGCTGATTATATTTCATCCCATGGGAATAAAAAACAGTTCTTTTTTGAGAAAGAGGAATAGAATATTTTTAGAAATGGAAGAATATGTTCTTATAAAAATATATATGGGGCTGGGAATATGGCTTAGTGGTAGAGTACTTGTTTAGCATGCATGAAGGCCCAGATTTGATTCCTTAGCAATATAATAAATAGAAAAATCCAGAAGTTGGTGCTGTGGCTCAAGTGATAGAGTGCTAGCCTTGAGCAAAAGCAGCTCAGGGACAGTGCCTAGGCCCTTGAGTGATGCAAAAATAAAATCTGTTAAAAGAATCACATTTGAGTTAGCTTACAAATGTTTTATCTTTAAATGCTTTATCACATTAGAAACAGATCAGTAACTTTTTTTTTTATTAGAGAATGATTCATTTTTTTCCAAGTAATTGAAAGTAATATGCTTGAGATGTTAATTTTATATAATTTTCATTATAAGGTGAAGATTGGTAGATCTGACTTTATGGGAGGAAAAAAGAAATTGTGAATACTTTAGTGAATTCCTCTCCTTTAATTTTTACCAAACTTTAAAGGAACTGAATAAGCATTTGTTTGTTATGCCTTATCTGATTATTTCCAAAAGCTATTAGTTTTATGTGTAAGCTGTCTTGTTCTTTTTTGATTCACAGCATTTTTCTCATTAGGACATGTGAATTTATTTCTAACTTTAGTAGAACTTCACTAATTTTTGAAATGCTATATGAATTTTCTGATCCATGATGTATTCATTTTAGCTCTTACATAGATTGAAACTAGTGATTAAACTTTTTTAAGCGCTACTCTAAATTCATAGTATAAAAACTTGGCAGGAAAAAAATAACACTAAGGCTTCATTATTAGTAATACAAATTTTGCTCAAGAATTTTATTATAGTTTTACCTTTTTGAGCAAAACTTTAAGCTAGCTGTAAGGTATAGAATTAAAATGCTCTAAAAGTAAAAATCTTGTTATTTTAACATTTTGACTTTAACTTACTTTACAGAAACAAACTGCAACCCAAGTCTCCTAAGCATAATTGGTTTCAATACCACAAGCTCTGCCCCAAAAGAAGGTCAGTCGGTCCAGTGGTGGCATGCTCAAGGGATTATAGGACTGATCCTCTTTTTGTTGTGTGTGTTTTATTCAAGGTAAGAAAATGCATGAAAAAAAATTTAACAAGCAGGCTTAACTATTGACTTAAGAACTTTTTGAAAAAAATCTCTTTCTCTCTTTCATTCAGCATCCGTACCTCAAACAATAGTCAGGTCAACAAACTGACTCTAACAAGTGATGAGTCAACATTAATTGAAGATGGAGCCAGAAGTGATGGATCATTAGAGGATGGCGATGATGTTCACAGAGCTGTAGATAATGAAAGGGATGGTGTCACATACAGTTACTCCTTCTTTCACTTCATGCTTTTCCTGGCTTCACTTTATATCATGATGACCCTTACCAACTGGTACAGGTACTTCTATTTTTTTTTTCTTTTTTTTTTTTTGTTGGTCGTGGGGCCTGAACTCTGGGTCTGGGCACTGTCCCTCAGCTCTTCAGCTCAAAGTAGTGCTCTACCGTTTGAGCCACAGAGCCACTTCTGGCTTTTTCTGCTTATGTGTGCTGAAGAATCGAACCCAGGGTCTCATGCATGCAAAGCAGGCACTCTACCACTGAGCCACCTTCCCAGCCCTGGTACTTACATTTCATGAAAACTTGGAGTATGAGAATTTGGATGCCTTTTCATGATTCTGTTATATAAAGCATGATTTGGTAGGGAGTATTTTTTGTTGTTATTTTGTGGTACTCAGTCTTAAAACTCAGGGATTTGAGCTTTCTAGACTTTGCTCAACTGACACTCCCACTTGAGCCATACCTCTAGCTAGTTTTTGCTAGTTATTTTTGGACATAAGAGTTTCAAAGACTTCTGCTGAGACTGGATTTCGGGGTCCCAGGCTTCTGAGTAGCTGGGATTACAGGTGTGTGAAACTGATTTCGGTATGAAGAGCTTAAATCTTCTGATATATTTCATAATGTATAGCTAAGTGAATATTTAGGCCAGTATTAGTTGATCCAAAAAAAGTGTTTTTATTTTCAGTGCTATAAACCTAATCCCAATGTACCTTCTTTATTTCATTTGAAGTGTATCATTAAAAGATCTGAACATTTTTAAATTGAGGTGTTGTATGTGAATGTAGATGGAGTTTTATAATTTCACAAAACTGTTGTTTCTTCAAACCTTGTTGAGCGATAGTTAAAAATTTCTTCTGATGAAAGTAGCAATTTAGAGTTTTTTGCTTTTGCCCCTTCTGATTTTGTCTGAGTTATTACTGAAAGATACTGTAGTGATGAATGAAGAAAATAAGAGAATGTAGCCATAATAGTCAACACATGTTCTGTGAAGTTAAGACAATTGAGGGGAGAGGTCAGATGAGGGAGTGTGATGAAAGAGGACATCCATGAATATAAATTGCACCTATGAACTGATTTGTTGAATGGTTCCTCCTTTATACAGCTACTTAACAGATAATAAAAACATAATTAGAAAAAGATTCTCATTGAACTATTCAGTCTAAGCAATTGTGTTTTAAGTAATTTGTTTATTTATTTTGCCAATCACTTCTTTTGCAAAAGGCTAGCACACTACCACTTGAGCCACAGATCCACTTCCAGCTTTTTCTGGTTATGTTGTACTGAGGAATCAAACCCAGGCTTCCTGCATGCTAGGCAAGCACTCTACCACTAAGCCACATTCCCAGCCTGTCTTAAATAATTTTTAATGTATAATGTGTAAAATGACCTTTCACAATCTATGCTCCTTTTGAAAGCAGCTTTTATTGAGTTTTATTATTGTTGAGAATATATTTAAAATTTCCTGCATTATATTAGCCTGTAAGAATCCAGATAGTTCTCAACAATTCAGTTTGGGCTGTCAGATAATAGTGAATTGAAGAATTTAGATTAAAAAAAATATATATTTTTGGGCTGGGAAGGTGGCTCAGTGGTAGAGCGCTTGCCTTGCATGCATGAGGTCCTAGGTTCGATTCCTCAGCACTACATAAGCAAAAAGAAAAAAAGCCGGAAGTGGAGCTGTGGCTCAAGTGGTAGAGCGCTAGCCTTGAGCTGAAGAGCTGAGGGACAGTGCCCAGGCCCAGAGTTCAGGCCCCATGACCAGACCACCCTCAAAAATACTTATTTTTATTAACACAAAATTCAGCAAATTGGAATATATTTCCTTCCAGGAGGTTAAGTCTGAGAAAGTGTAAGAAGTAAGGGATATATTTCATGTTGATTCTTATATACATTCTGGAAAGTAGTAGCACTTTATCTATAGATCATATCTTATTTCTGAACATAAAGTGCTTCAGTATTGTGCAAAAGATCTATTTCAAAGATCTAAATAGTCCTGTAAAGGAAATTATTGATTTTAATCTTCATAAATTAGTATGAAAAAGTGAAGCAAATGTAACAATTAAGTCAGTCTCACATTGTACAAAGAACACTTCTAAATAAGTTTAGTGGCTTGATGGCTAATTATCCAATCCTTCTGTCCTTGTCCTTTTGTTTTGGGTCAAATTTTAGGTATGAGCCTTCCCGTGCGATGAAGAGTCAGTGGACTGCTGTCTGGGTGAAAATCTCTTCTAGCTGGATTGGCATCGTGCTCTATGTGTGGACACTGGTGGCACCACTTGTTCTTACAAATCGTGATTTTGACTGAATGGGACTCTTTGGCATGCAAGACCCACTTTGGTCATTTCATTGTTTATTTGAAATTAACAGTATTCCCAACTTTTGTACAGTTATGTATGTATATGTGCTCACTGTGTAACTTCTGTGTTCTGGCATGAATTAGATTTTACTGCTTGCCATTCATTACTTGCTAAGTGCTCTGATCATGTGAATTGGAATGTGCAAAGTTTTGAGTATGGTGGTGAGTTAGGAAAAGGACAGTGGTAGTCTTATCCTCTGATCTGTACATACAAGTCAAACTGAGTTTGATTTTAAAATTGTTAGACCATAAACTGTTTTAGGAAGCATACAAGTAAATGGATAGCTACCTTTTGAAATACGTAATGTTTTGCCTTATGGAAGACCACAAAGAACGTGGCTATTCTAAACTGTGTAAATAACTTATTTAAATATTTGTTGTCTGAAAAATACAAGTCTCTCTTGTCAGGATTTTCCCTTTATATGAAGGTAGGGAACTTACACAGGCAAGGAATGTTTAATTAAAAGCAGTGTAGGTTGTGGATGTAGGTAAAGGCACAGAGCCTTTATTATTGGTGGTATGTATTATATTGAATATGCACTGAGATGGTAATCTCTGTGTCGACATGATGGTCATCACCAACAAATGAACTTTGTTTTGGTCTTTATAAATCCATGCCAAGTTGTTGTTTTAATGGAGCTATTAGTATTTGGACAGTTTTGAAAAGAATAATCATAGGTTAGAAAAAACTTGTTGAAACTTTGAAAGCTAGTTTTGAAAATCAAAGGTGACAAACTTCTGATTAGTCAGGAAAATACTAGGCTTCAGTATATTAAAAATATAGTTCAATGCTTTTTCATTAAAAAAATGAAGAACCTGAAGCAGATTTAAGTAGCTCAAGTAGCCAAGTAGTAGCAAAGCTGGGAAATTCTAAGTCTACCAAAAATAGTTACATCCTCTTTGCCATAAAATGTACTTTCTATTCATAATTGACTTTATACCTCATTAGTGGTGGAAAACTTATGTGATATGTGTTGATGCTGTTCAGCATGCTTTTGATCCATGCACTAAAGCCAAGAGGATGATGGGCTGTTGTAGAATAAAGTTCTGCTTATCATATACTATGCATTAAAAAAAATGGTTTAAATTGCTTTTTCATTTACTGCTCATATATTGGAAATATATAATTATAATCTTTCAACCTGAAAATCAAGCAGTGACACTTTAGATAGGAACTCTTAGTTATTTGTATGTGTAATTAGTGTCTAGTAAAGCTTTTTGAACTCTATTGCCTCTTTAATAATATTTATTAATGTTAATGGAGTAACAATTCAGTTAATTCCCCAACCTTATTCTGTATGTTGTTACTGTGTTTCATAATATTGAGTGGCTGTGTTCTATTATCTGAATAAATCATTTCAGAGAAAGTGCGTACTGTTACTAATTATCTAGCAGTTCAAATCTAAGTGGGTAGAATACTTGACACTATACAAAAGAACCTGACAAGACAAAGTACCCATCTTTTGTCCTGAGAACTGAAATATTTTGAAGGTGTTTTTTACCTGACCTTACCTTCAGTAATAGCCTCTTTAAATTTATATTTTACATCTACTGTGTTTCTCCAGCCAATTATTCTAATTAATACTTTTCTTATAGCAAGCTAATGCAAAATTTTTCTCTTGAAAAATAAAGAATTTTGATTCAGATCCTCCAACCTTAAGTTGCATTAGCTTCTGTCGCTGTAATATCTGAAATCATTCACTTACAAGAGAAAGGGTTTCTTTTGAGCTTTGGCAAAACAGCACATCATAAATGAGAATACGTGGCAGAGCAAACCTCTGCATTACAGTGGCTAAGGAAGTACAAAATTCATCACATCACTTGGAGCTTACAGAATGAGATCAGAGTGCCATGAATCCCTTTAAGGATATGCCCCAAATAATCTAAGCATGTACAAAATCCCCATAGTTCTACAACCTCCTAGAAGGACTACCCTGGGGACCATGCCTTTAACACATGGAAACTGGTAACAGTCAACATCCGAACTCCAGCAGTTAACTAAGCTGTAACATACTGTTGTATGGGAATTTGTTCGCAAGAAACAGAAGCCACATTCTGAGAGGTCAAATTAGGATTCTTTATTGGAAAGCCCACAACTGCAGGTGGACTCCTGCAGCCCAGAAGAGTTTGCACAAAGATTTTAAGACAAAAACCACATGTTTGGGTTGGAAACCCATGCCCATAAAAGCAGACCAAATAGGGAAATACTCTACTCAAGGGCAAGCATTCTCTTTAGCAAAACTTTCCTGGGGCTTACCAACCTGACATAGGCTATTCATCTCACCTGTAGGCTTTTTAGAGCTGGGTGAAAAGGCCCCTCCCTCCAGGAAAGAGCCAGTATGGCTGTGAGAGTATTTAGATCCAATATCCTTACTTTGTTCCCCACTGGTTTTATGTACATGGAATCAAATCATTGATTTCTTTGCTGTACTGGGCCCTTGGACCAGGAACTTAACCAAATTACTTTTAACAAGGTTTACAAAAGAGGCTCTCCCATACTAGACCTGTTTCATTAACATAAAAACATCCTAAGGCTGTGCAGAGTTTACCATTAGTTTTTGCTTGGACTGTTTCCACCTGTGATTTAAGGAGTCTAGCAGTCAAAGTTGGCTCCATATGACTGATACTCTTGGAATCAAGAGGCTTTGAACTTAAATCCAACCAGCACTCCTTTCTCAGGTCAGGCTGGGTACGATTTGCAAACAGAAAGTGCTCCAGGGGAGGAGCTGACAAAGGATGACAACAAAAGCCTTAAGTTTCAACATATCGAAAATGGCCTTCCATCTGGAATCATTCCTGTCTACTTTTACCACAGTGGAGGTGGTCAGGATGATGATGTAGGGGCCCTTCCAGGTGCCTGTGAGGCTGTGCTTGACAAATTTTTTAACCAATCTCCAGGTTGGAAGGGATAGGCTGGATCCCAGATGGGCAGCAGCAATGTCTCTCAGACCCATTTATTACCTACAAGTTCTGCAACGACCCTAATAAAGCATTATTAACTTAAGCTTAAGGCAGGGGCCTGACTTAGTGAAATCTATTTCCCAATATTCTGATTGCTTCCTCTGAGTGGGGCCAAGAACAGTCAATAAAATGTTTGGGGGTTTCACTGCTTTTTTTTTTTTACAGAACTCCTTTTTGATGCCCATAACAATGTACCAGGGTGACAACTTTTGTTAATCATATTGCATCCCATAAGGACAGGATTTCCTGGGCAGACATAATCTATCTTTCCTTCTTCCAAAAAGGACTTCAGTCTCTTGATCTTAGGGGAGTTGATGGGTGAAGACCCATCTTCTGTAATTGCTTCAAGCTGAATAGGTGTGTGGCCCTGCCTAGAAGAGACCTGAAATCTTAGCTTAAGTTTACCAAGAGATTACTAGACTCAGATACTAGGGGCTGGGATTCTTGTTGATTTAAACTATCCCCCATTTCACAACCATAGCTTTTTTACTACCCTCTATAACCAATGACTGATAGGCATGGGTGCAAGTTCCCTCCAGTTACATAGTAGACAGGTATAGGCAATTAGGTAGACATGCTTATTTTTTATGACCTCCTGGCTCTGATTACTTTGGAAGGACCAAGCACATTTAGGATCTGATATCAACTCTCTTATCTGAGCAGTGTCTTCCAACTGCCTCTAGATATTCCCTAGTTACCAGGACAAGCTTTGTCCCAAGAGTGTCTTCTCGATGCTGGAATAACACCCCACTTGGCATTTTCTTTGTCCATCGCTGACCTGAACTCAGGACCTAGGAACTGTCCCTGAGCTCTCCTGCTTAAAGCTAGCACTCTACTACTTTGAGCCACAGTGCCACTTCCAGCATTTTGCTGGTTAATTGAAGCATCTCACAGGGACTTTTCTGCCCAAGCTGACTTTGAGCCACGATCCTCAGATGAGATGAGTCTAGTCCTTTAATTGAAGCACCAAGTAGATCAATTGAAATAGTTTTAAGCAGAGCTTACCTGGTGGTGTTTTGAAAAGGGTTCTGTATCCATGGCGGCTCACATCCTTGGGAAATAGATATTAAGATAGCAAAAAAAGACCTTGATATAAACAAATATAAGTGAACTTTGGTAGTCCTAATTTCCCCCTTTTACCACTTTGAAAGAAACATTCAAGACAATTCTTACTTCCCAGATTCCCTTCATCCAGTAAGCCATTTTAAATCCCCTTTCCAAAGCATTTCTTTACTAACTCCTCCTCTTTGCTTCACACTCCTGTGTTTTAATTTGTATTTAAAACAACCCTTTTGAAAACCTTGAAACACTTATCGTTTACCTTTTTGCAGCCTGATTTGAAAACTTATTTTCTGTAGTCTGAGTTAACTCTTAGAAAACTTTTTAACTCAAATGACATAGCTTTTCTTAATGTAAGAGTTACATACAGACAGGGACTGCACCAAGAGTCCAGACTTAACAAACTTAAGGAATCTCAGACCATATTTTGCTTTTTAAAAAAAATCCATTTAGGCCGGGCGCTGGTGGCTCACGCCTGTAATCCTAGCTACTCAGGAGGCTGAGATCTGAGGATCGCGGTTCAAAACCAGCCCGGGCAGGAAAGACCATGAGACTCATATCTCCAATAAACCACCAGAAAACCGGAAGTGGTGCTGTAGCTCAAGTGGTAGAGTGCTTGCCTTGAGCTGAAGAGCTGAGGGACAGCGCCCAGGCCCAGAGTTCAAGCCCCACGACCGACAAAAAAAAAAAAAACAAAAAAAAAAACAAAAAAATCCATTTAGGGGCTGGGAAGGTGGCTCAGTGGTAGAGCTCTTGCCTTGCATGCATGAGGCCCTGTGTTCAATTCCTCAGCACCACATAAGCAAAAAGAAAAAAGCCGGAAGTGGCGCTGTGGCTCAAGTGGTAGAGCGCTAGCCTTGAGCTAAAGAGCTGAGGGACAGCACCCAGGCCCAGAGTTCAGACCCCACGACCGGACCCCCCCCCAAAAAAAAATTCATCTAATTGCAAAATAGAAATTAAGGTTTATGGTTCCATATACTACTATTATTGAGACCAAATTATATTACACGAGAGATTACCTTTTTTTTTCTTTTTAACCTTCCTATTTAAAGCATTTAAATATATACCAAGGAGCAGGTTTTAGGAATTATAATCACATCACCCAGTTAGGCTTTCAGTGTCTGTCCATAAGGAAAAGAAACAGATGCCCATTTTATATTTGTCATGTCCTGGTGAGAGGCCATGCCTTTTGGTTGAGGGGAGAGGTAGTCCCTTTTCCTTGGGCATTCCAAGAGGAGCTGAAGTAAACCAAGCTTTTCTCTTGATTCCTTCCTAAGAGAAACTAAAGCAGTTCCAGACAAATAGAATGGATAATATCTTTGACAGTGATAAACAATTATACTTAAATTTCTGATAATTAGCCCCAAATTTTAACAATGAAAGGAAATAAATGCTTAGTTGTCAAGATTTATGTTTTTGCTAAGCCAGATAACTTGATTACAGTGCTAACAGTTTTTATCTTGAACATGCTGATACACACACACACACACACACACACACACACACACGTACACACACGTACACAAAGTTCTTTAAGAATGCAAAAATGAATATTAGCCATACATTTTCTGGAATTCCAGCAGCAAGGGATATTCTTGCCCATAGCACTGTAGAACCACGATGGTCAGTGTTAGAAAAACTTAAAAAAAAAAACAAAAACTTTTGCCAACAAACTAAATATCTTAATCTTACAGATAACCGAGATCTACATGCTGAAACAAAGTTTATGACCAAGGCACAGTAGCATCGGATTGACCTTTGAATACTTTCAGATGAAGGAAGGGTGAGGGTCACCTGAGGCTAAACTCTTAGCCTACAGGTGGCCTTACTCTTTACCAAATTTTAGACTAGAGCACTTTACCAATTCCAATCTGCCAAAATTAACCAGGGGTCAGAGGAGCTATATTACAGACTGGTACAGAGAACAGAATGAGACAAGACCAAGGCAGAAACATAAAAAACCTAAACCTGCTAGGTAGGCCAGGTCCAAAGACCTCCTGCCTTATCAGTGACCAGAACTCTCTACTGTCCTGAGCATGCTGGGCATGCTTGATCCGCAGATCTCCCACTTCAGCCACAACCAGAACTCCACAAAATGGGAGTTTGCTGTATGTGCCTCTCCAACCTCAGCAACCCCAAACTGTTATCCTCACAAACCTTGAGGGCTGTGGGTGTGTCTCAAGCACATCCAATCCCCTTACCTCTACAGTTCCAGATGGATCTATCCCCCCAAAAACAGAAAAACAAGCAGAATTCAGAGGAAAAAACAAACTTATTCTGGAGGTCTCCTGAGTGACTCCAAAAAATGGATGGCCTTTCAGGTATCCATGAGCTTGCTGTCAAGAAT